CAAATAAAAAACAAACCGGAACCCCCCCCCTCAAAAAACAATAACAATAAATAAACCGGACCCCCCCCAAAAAAAACAAAAACAAACAAACCCGGAAAACCCCCCAAAAACCCCCCGGGCAGCATTGGTGGGAACGTGGGACGCCCTGGAACCCAAACAGAAGCCGCACATTTCAGCAAACCCAAGCACCAATTTGGGGTCACCACAACAAGCAACAGGCGACAGCACCTTCATGACGCAGAAGCGCCGGCGCTTTCGGCCCTGTCCTGGTCTCAGAGAGGGGGGCATTTGCAAAGGGACACGTGGAGGTTGTTCAGACAGGGGATGCCCCCCCCCTCAGCACGAAAGGTTCTTCCTCGTAACCTTTGTGTGAGGTTTCTCTTTTGCAACCGAGCAAAAACAGGAACCCTTGTCTTTTTTGCAAGAGAAAGAACATGTCGATCCTTGGCCACATTAAGGGCACTGGGGTCCAACATGGGGACCCATTTTTTTTTGAAAACTCGCATGTGCGCTACCTTGCTGATGGCAAGCTCACCTGGGCCAAAACAAGGTCACCCATCGCAAGTATCCCTTCATGCGGGTCCTTGATTCAAGTTTTGGGATATCTTCCATGGTGCAGGAATGTCATTCATTTTGCATCTAAGCATTCTGTGTGAGTAGGAGGCATATCTTGGCAGCCAGTGTTTCAATCCAGTGTCAACAGACAACATCGCGGAGACTTGTCATCACGTCTCCGCATGCCATTGGAGATGTTCTCAACATCCGCAGTTTGGATTTTTCAGAGTCCGCGATTTTGTGGGTGCATCCACCTTGTCCGTGCTCAGGCCTCAGCCCAAGCCACCTGAAGCCCTCGTGGAGAGCTGGCTGAAGAGGGGCCGCATGGGGTTAAAGGGGGGCGGTCACAAAAGGACGACAACCCGGAAACACTACCACCCCAAACACACATCCAGTTTTGGTCTATTTCAGTCTTCAACGGGGGTGCTTGGGGGGCGCGCGAGGTTTCGAAGGAGGATGCCAACCAAGCGGATCTCGCCTCGAGGTTTACTGTAGCGAGATCTTCTTTTGAGATTTTGACCGGGCCATGTGCGGCCTAGTTTTGCTGCTTTGGGAGGTGGATTCCTAACAGTCGGCAGCTCGCATTTGTCCATGACATGGCTTTGCGATTTTGCGGTTCGGCTTTGCGATTCGGCCGTTGTTAGTGGGTGGGGGCAGAGTCCATGAGTTTGGCGGGGTCATCTGCCGAATTGATCCACAGGTCCTTTTTGCGATGGCGCGAGCAGGGCGGTTTTGTGTGCTTGGAGCGAACTGAGTGTTTATTGTTCCCGTGCGGGGAAAGCTCCACTCAACGACCGGTCAGAATCGTGGTGTTCCTCGAGCTATGTCACACTGAGAAGGTTTGGTGTCGTCGCATCTTCAACTGTATGGGGCAATTTCAGATATCCAATACATTTTGTTTGACGATCTCATTTGTTCCATCGTCACGCATTTCGTTCAACTTCATGTTGCTGAAACATTACTGCCTGGGCTTGGACCATGTGGGGTCTCCAAGTTTTTGTCCTAAGAATTCTGCGGAGCATGTTTCGTCAGTCCATCAAGTTCCTGCTGTGGCGGCTGCCATCCCGAAACCAACCGGGCGTCGTGTTGACCTTGCTTGTTCGTAGAATTTGCATCAAAATGCAAAGGCAAAGGGAACCGGCAACGATGTTGAGGGATTCGGCTGTTCGGAAGTGAGATGCTTGAACCCTTGGCTCAGGAATGCTTGGTCGGACTACGACAGCCACGGTGCGGCTCTCAGAGCTCTGTTCGGAAGGGATGCGTTCTGAGGAGGAAGCAGCCGGGGTGTTTTTTGGCAAGGGAGCATTGTTTGAATCCTTTCTGATTGGGTGCATTGGTATTTTGATCGTTTGACCATGTCGAGTGTGAACAAAGCTCCTCTGAATCTGACCACTTGAGGAGTGCTGCCAGTTTGGCGGCAACCACGCCGAGATCCGTAGGCGGAGACTGGTGAAGTGCAGGGCATTCCCGCGCTTCCGCTCGCATTCGACTCAGGCTGGAAAGCGAGTGGTCCTTGGGTCCTGCCGACGTGCTTAAGACATTTAAATTGTGATCTCCCTTTCCCTCTTTAATGGAATGGCTTTGCGGGCCAACATTGAAGATGTTCTTTGTCTTTCATTTTCTATTTCTATGTTCTTTGTTGTTTTCTTATTCATCATAATTGTAATCTAAATGTTCTATCTTCTAACAATCCTAGCCGCAACTTCACTAATAATAACATGTTTCTTTTCCCCCCACATTATCTGATGCACGTTAGAAGCATATATAGTACCTGAATGGTATTTCTTATGCCCATCTGGGCACTGTAGGGCACTGTGATATACTCCCTTGGAAAACTATTTTCCAGTCCTTTCAGAACGGTTGTACACTTCTCCCATAATTGCTGAGGGACACCCCTGGTTTGGCCTAGTTTCTTCTTCGGCCTCAGAGTTTCATGTTATTGGTCAAGATTCCATGGCTGGCCGAGCGCCGGCCAGCCGAGTTATCAGCGCCCCTGACATTCCACAAGTCCCTGACGCCTTCGATGTCTCGACATCTCTGATGCCCTGCCCTGATGTTCTGACTCCTTCCCTTTCCTATCATCCAATTGATGGTTCACAATGGCGACAGTAGCAGCCTCATACAGTAGATGTGCTTTGCCACTTGCCTCCGCGAGTTGCAACGGTGTCCATGCACAGCCGTCTACATTGACTGAGTTTGTTCCTCAAAGCACGTGGCAGATACAAAAGCAGCTATTGGCTCATCCTCCATTTGCCTTGAAAGGACGCATGCCACCACCCTTTGCTTCTGTTCGCGGGGCGAAAGTCAGCTTTGGTACGCATTTGGCGGTTTTCGGATCTCAAAACTGCTGAACCGGTTTTAGGACCTCCAGGATTGGAGCACAAGAGGACATCTAATGTCCAAAAAGATTGAGGAAAAGGGGGAAATGTGGCTCTTCAAGTTGCACCGAAGCCAACCCCCAGAGCTCTGACAGGCGCCAACACGTCTTCTCCGGCAAGCGCTTGAGAACTTGATGGGCAGGCCGAATGCAAAGGGCGAAAGCCACGCACCAAACGGTGAGACCTCAGCTTGTTGTGTTCGTCGGCGATGTGGCCGCGTTTCCTTTTGTGCTCCGCTTTGCAACCAACCAAAGGGGCACCCTCAAAAGAAGACACACCCATTTGTGTTGGACAGCAACAACTGCTCATCATTAACTTTGCCAGGGAATGTCGCCAGCGAGAAAACGAGATGATTCCAGCCAGCCGTGGTTTGTAAGGAAGCATCCATTCGGGGATTGGCCACAGCCCCTAAAAACGCCGTTGTTATGGCATCAGGCCATGTTACGGCCCCACGTTCGGAGTGGATGAAAAGGGGAGCGATGGCCTTTGTCCACATTGGCGATTCAGACCTGCAGCATTTGTGCTCCAAGCCGCCTGGTTCTTGCCAAAATCGCGCCCCCGTTTCTCGTTGTAGTGTAACCTCAGTGCCTGGATGCGCAATAGCAGCCTATCGAGTTACATGGATTTGCTGAGCTTGACTGATCAGTCACAAATGAGTGGTGCAGACAAATCCAGGCCTTTTTTGAAAACACAAATCTGCACCAAAACAAACCTTTGTGGTCTTGGCTATGGCCCACGACATGCAGTTCTGCTGCCCACATAATTTTCTTGCGTTGAGCCGCAGGTGGTACGGCGATGCTCATTGCTACCAGGCTGGCAAGCGAGCCATACTCAAGGCCCCAATTGGTAGTCTCATTGAAGCGCTGCCTCCCGGCGCCACCTCCCCCTTAGTTCTAGGGCTACCTTCCCCATTCTTTCCAGGGATCCTTCTTTTCAGGAAACCATCAAAAACCCAGGCAACCAGCTGGTGTTTGAAAAGAACGATGGTTGAAAAGAATGGAGAATCAACCCCTATATTAGTGCTACTCATCACTTCCTGAAGAAATTATTTTAGACCGCAATCAAATTCCAGCCCAACGTCCCACAATTATGCCTGTCCCGTGGAATCGAGCTCCAGAAGCTGCCCAAGAACACTGCAAAGCAGTGCAGGTCCCGATGTCTAGCGTAACAATCAGATCCTGTATACAATGAAGCTATAACAATGCGACATATACTTTGCTAAAGAACTAGGTATGCCTGGCCCAAGAACTCAAACGCCCGAAGCGCAGATGAAGCTCAAGAGTCTCATTGCTGAAAGCGCCGGCCGTGAGAAACGTGCGGAAGTTGTCTAGTGGTCTGTTGTTAATTTTGAGGAGGACTTTGGGATGGGAGGACCACCAAATCAAATTTTCCAGGCATTGACCCTGGATTGACAAAGCCCCTGGTTGATCCATAGGTGTCCCATTCACGATTTGGGGGGAACACCCAAATCAGAATCCACCAGGTTGAATCTGGGGGAGGGTTCGAATGCAATTGCCAGAGGAACACCGACCTCTGCGTTGCGCCATGGCACAGGCATTCACCCATGCTGCATACCAGATCGCATAGATTTTGTTGGTATTTGGTTTGATAAACCAAAGAAACTTGCAGGATGCAACTACAACTCTTCTAGTTTGTGAAATGCCAGTATGTTCCCAGTGTGTTTCCTTTCAGCCTGACACATAGCACTCTTTGACGGAGCATCGTTTGCTGGCGTCCATTTGAAAAGCGAGCAGGAATCCACATCTCTGGTTCCATTGGCCCCAAAAGCAGAGTCGAGGAGTCCTGACAAGCCTTGAATATATCCTTTGGGGTCCAACCCTATAGGGCCTTTAGGCAACCTTTGTAAGGGTTCCTATTCAGTTGGCCATGCCATGGCACAGATTCATTACTCTCCTGCAGATTGACATGGAACCTCAAAAAAGCCGCACATTTCGAGTCTCCTCTTGGGTGACCCGTTGCTGGGTTCCATCTGAAACTGTAGGGGAGTGAGTTGAATCGCGCTGGATCAGTTGAACAACTGCGATGCTCTGCGATCCGTCGCTCCGACCCGAATCTGCCAGGTGACCTGGTCGAGCAACTCCAAAGGCCTCACGTGCAAGTCCATGTCTTTGCCGCTGGGACTTGTCGACGGATCAACCAACCTAGTCGATTGATAGGCGGTGTTCCCTCCCCAAGAAAGCATGTGAAGGACTGGTTTGTAAATAGGACACCCTCCTGTTAATCAATCAGGGGTGGATCTTTTTCTCTTTTTTTTGTGTGTTTTGGCTATATGTATGTATGTCTACGTGAATGTTTGTATGAATGTTGATTGTTGTTCGGATGTAGTTGTTAATTTGTTGGTTATTACCGCGAATGTTTCATAGGGGAGCCTCGTCGGATTTTTCTTTGGTTCGAAAGGCCAAAGCGAGGGGGTTCTCCATTTGAGAGAAACTCCATGTGGTCAAACGTGGGATGCCGTCAAACACATTGAAAAGGAGTCTTGTTTTCTCCCTGTGCGTAGGCCAAAACAGGTTTTGCTTGTCTTCACCCTCAAATCCCTACCAGACCTTGGCACACCAAAATATGATGTTATGTCCATTTGGGAAGAGGCCCGCATGTCATAGTGACTTGGACCGCTCTTCGTTGGTTCAACGCTAGCCCGCGTGCAAACATTTGCTTGTTGCGCTTCCATGCAAATCTCGAAAAACCGTAGCTGAGCGCTGCTCATGCTAGCTATCCGTGCCAAGGTATGCCATGGACAACAAGGAGAATGCGGCTTGGGCTTGAATTTGGCAGGGCCCTTCAATTCTGATGCATGGCGTCAATCCGTAGCACGGCTAACTAGCATCAGTTTGGATACTCGACTGCTTAGTCATGGAGCAGACCCGTGAGTGAATGCGCATCAAGCGGACTGCTTTGCTTTGTGACAGCCCGCAAATGAGGCGACGTGTGCAGTTTCAGGTGGTTTACAAGTAACAAAATGGTCGCCCAGTGGTGGGGTGCTCGCCCAGCTTTGGGGTGCCAAGCCTCCATTTTCTGGTGGTTGGTAGATGAATTGGCACCATGTTTTGGCGATTACGTACGCGGCCCCGGTTTCCTGGGCTTTTCTAACTTATCGATGAGACCTTTTGGTGTTTACGTAATTGTTCGGAAAGGCGGGCACGCCCGTCCATGTGCCACGGAAGCTTTGGAGAAAGCGAGGCCACCAGAAGACGAATGCATTGCTTGCACGAAACGGGGACGGACATACCATGTTGAATACGATGTTTGCCTTGGCAAGAAGTCGTACCGCAGAAACAAGACAGGTCGAGAATGTGAACTGGTGCCCATCCAAGTTCCCATTTCAACCAGTCCCCAACAATGTTTCGTTTCGCGACCCGGATTCAGGTTGCCGGTTGCCCCTTTTCCATGTTTTTTTTCCCTGACAGCTGTGGGGTCCATGGGATGGGCGGATCCCGCGAGGCCTGGACCTCCGAGCGAGCCATTTGCTGGGAAGGCGGGTGGCTCGACGGATGCTTGGAGAGTTGTCAGAAAATGAGTGGGATGGTCCAATGTTTGGTGGAATTGGTGTTCAACTTGAGGCAGGACCCAGCATAGACAGTGCAGTCCTTTTTCAGCGGTCACACGGGTGTTCCCGGAAACTGGCAACAGATGCATGGCGATCATGTTTGACCTCTGCTTGCCAGTATCCAGTCAAGTGCCGTTGACGCAGCTTACATGGGTGGCTGGTTCGCTGGGTTGCGGGCCTGTTTGGAGGCGCGTCAAACTCCAAAGTTGCTCAGTCCGGGAGGGGCGGTCAGGCGCCGACATCTTCCTGGGCGAGAGGTGCCGGTACTTCTTGGACACCTTAACCAACAAGACGGTTACCTGGGCTGCCCGGCTTAAAAAAGGGTGAAGATTAGGCATTGGCCAAACTGAAGTGTGAGGAAATGTTGGCTTGTGGTTCTCCTTCCTCTGCTTTGTCTGCTTCTCACCTTTGCTCGCCTCGTGCTTCTTTTCTCGCAAGCCTACTGGGGATTTGTTCACTGGGTGAGGGCTCCAAACATTCTTTGTTGGTCTGCGGGGTTGTTTCCACCGGCCATGCCTCTGGGGGCGTTTCGATGTGAAGTCTGCCATTTCAATCTGCAAGTCTGCCCTTGACAATCGGAGTGAGGTAACACCTTCTTCAGGTGTTCGAAGCCCCAATGTACTCAAATTGCGGGCTAGGAGTTGGATAGAACCTTGCAGGGGTACACCGATGGTGATAGCAGTGGCGGTGGCGCCGGCAATGCTAATGACGATGACAACGAAGATGACGACGACGATTAGCTAACATTAGTTATTGTGATGATGCTTACATCATCAGCGGGTCAGTATATGCATCCATGTATCCATTTATGCATTTGTGCATTCCATTCCACTGAACCCCATCCTATCCCATCCATTCAAACCCAAAAAACCCTAAACCTAACCCCTAGCAACCTTAGACCCTAAAGCCCTTTTACCCTGAAAACCCTAAACCCTAAACCCTAAACCCTAAAAACACTAAACGCTAGAAACCCCACCTAAAAACACGAAACCCTAAGCC